CTGATGATGATGATGATGATGATGATGATGCTGATGTTGATGTTGATGTTGATGATGATGATGCCGATGCCGATGCCGATGCCGATGCCGATGCCGATGCCGGTGGTGATGAAGACGATGTCGACGGCAAGTCCCATGATGGTGCCGATGATGGTGACGACGATGGTGATGTCCACGTGTCGGTGATGAATGGCACGGTGTTGGTTGGCGCTGGCGGCAACAGCGGTGGTTGAGAATGGCGATGACGTTGGTGATGCGATGGCGCTGATGAGGGTAATGAAAAGTTGTGCGCGCATGAAGTCAAGCAATCTAACATATTCGTCGTTGAGGAACTCTGTGTTTCGTGTGCTCTTAAAGGCAGCAATCTTGAAAACCGTCGGGAATCATTGGCTTTCGCAAGGTTTCTGACACGTGGTTTTATTTGCCACGTTTTCGTGCACTGGGCGCATGCAAGATTCGGCGGCGCGCCCGCGCGGAAGTGAGAGGGCGCAGGCCTTCTCAGAAGACGGCGGGGCTTCTCAGAAGCCCTCGCGCCTTCTGAAAGATTTGCCGTGTCTCCGGGAAAGGCTGAGACCACTTATCAGAAGGCCCGAGGCCTTCCGACCCTTCTGAGAAGGCCCGCCCCTTCGCACTCCCCCCCCGGGGCTCGCCGCCAACAGATGAACATTTATGCGAAGCTTGGTAAAATCACAATGCGGGCTTTGGGCGAGATTACTAAAATCGTTTGTTCCCTCATGGTTTCAGCAATGGGCGTGCGGGCGTACAGTGTGAAACATGTATGGTGAACATGTATTTTGGTTTGTTGTTGTTATGGTGAAATGATTGCGGAACGAACGCGTTTGCTATGGTTCTGACATGTGTGCACGTGTGTGGACATTTCGCATTTTCCTAGGTATGGGGCTTCATGTCTTAAAACAAGAACAAGAACACATCCGAGATGAATAGCCGCACGCGCATTGCATTATTTGGCTGATGGTGGAGATGATACCAGGCTGGTTGAAGTTGGTATGATTTCATGAGCGATTGGGCAGAATCTCGCGTCAATTCCATGATCCCAAAAGGAGTCGACAACCCCGAGCGAGGGGGGCTGGTAGGGTATATTTGAGTGGCCTCTGGCCAGTGCCGCCCATCTGGGGCTCTCCCCCCGTCTGGGGAGCGCCGGGGTGGGGGGGGAGGGGGCGCTCCCTCCCCCTGGTTCCAGGGGGGGGTCCCTGGGACCTTCCCCCACAGACTCGGGATGGGCAGATCAAAAGCAAAGTGGGTCCCCCAGAGGTGAGGGGAGGGGAATTCAGTACCCCCCCCCTCCGGCAGAGCCCTCCCGGCCCCCCCCCCAGCAGAGCTGAACTGAAGCTCGGGCCCCTCTTAACTCACACGCCGGATCGGCGGGTTGTTTGTTGCTCAGGACGCGCAATTTGCCGCCGGCGGGCGCCCTCAGGCGAAATCTCGGCGCACCCAGCCAGCGGACCATCGCCGAGCGCGTTCCACTACTCGCAAAGTGCCTACTCGCAAACGTCCGGAAAAACACCTGTCTGCTGTGATGTAATTTATCGTAGATCCCCCGCGGCGGATCCAGGCCATTTGCGAGCAGTTACTTTGCGAGTAGTGGGACGCGCTCGTCCAAAATGAGGCGCTCGCGAGGCGACCACCAGGCTCGCCGAGCCCAGCCAGCGCACGGGGGCGCCCGCGAGGCGCCCTCGCAGGTGAAACCTCGGCGGACCCGGCCATCGCACGGGGCGCCCACAAGACGCCTCCGGTTTTGCCCATTGGGCAGAACCTCAGCGGGCGCCCACGGGGCGCCCACCAGGCCACACGAACCGCCCACTGGCGCCCACCAGTCGGGTGTTGCCAGAAGTGCCCCTGGCCCAGGGTGCCCCCGGCTTTTCGCTCCATGTTGGCGCCCCTGGGGCCTGCTGGCCCTCGTAAGGGGTGCCCTGGAGGCCGTCTGGGCCACCTCGAGGGTCGTGGGGGTACCTTGAGCCAGGGGTACTTCCAGCGACACCCGAACAAGGCGAAACCTTGGCGGACCGAGCCAGCACACGGGGAGTCTAGGAGGCGCCCCCAGGGGCGCTCACCAGGCAAAATTCCTGCGGACCAAGGCAGCGCACGGGGCGCCCACCAGACGACCTGTTGGCGGGCCCGTCGAATTCGGCCCCTCAGTGCAAGCATTGTTTGAGGAATGTCACAAGCGAGGCCTCCATGGTTGACATGAGAAATTGTTGTCCATGATTGCAGCGACTGCAAATGTTGAAGACGAATACGCGCGACGCTGAGGATAGGCCCAGTTCGAAAGCTTACCACCCTCCATCCTTAAAATGGTTCTCAATGTTTAAGTCAGGTGCGCGCGGCTCGGTTGGAGCCCCTTTTGGAGAAGGCACCGCAATCCGACCTTATAATTGCTGTGAACTGTATGGGTGACTGCGCGCTGCGCTAAGGCGAAAGCCCTGTTGAACAAAAACCGCCGTCCATCTTTGTTACTCTGGCAAGCTTTTAAGACGAATGCGCGCAACGCTTTTGGCGAGAACCCCATGTTGAATGTGTAGTGTTTTTCGTTATTGTAGCTGTTGAGAATGCCACGTCTGTGTCAAAAGCGGTGAGGAAATTGTTGACGAAACGCTTGTGGGGCCGCTCTAAGAGCACGTCTGGTGGTGCGACAGGGAAAATCTGTATACATGGAATTGAACTGGCAAGGAGGGGCGAGGGCGCGTATATCATAGGCTCGGTGAGCGGGTGTCAAGAAGTTGTCCCTTGATCAACGAGCGTTGTACGGCTACTCTTACCTATGGAAGGCACACTCAGCATCTGCCGGTTTCGTGAATTGCGGGTTGTTTGGTGCAACGTTTGGCGCAATGTTACACCCATTGAGGCAACGGCCAATTTGGTGATTTACGAGATGGTTGTAATGGTACATTCATTGAGGCGCCAGGCAATGTGGTGGATTGCGGGGGGGGGTGGCGCAGCCTATGGCGGAATGCGCAATGGCACCTTCATTGAGGCAAGGGCGTGTTCGTTGGATTACGGGGTGCCTAGCGCAATAGATATGTATAGATTTCAAGATGTATAGCTGTATATGTTTATATGTGTGTATGTGTATGCAGGGGTGTGAGTGTGCGTTGCGCAATGGTACGGGTGCGTGATGCAACCTATGGCGTTGTATTTGGAAGCCTTGATGTGTGATAAGTTTGGGGGGCAGTTGACACATCCAAATGTCAGCCAGCGTGGACCCCGAACAGCGTCTTTGTAGCAACATAGGGTGTACAATTTATGTGGAGCAATGCACGTTGTCTAATAGGTGTTGCAGTCCATGTGGTGCAAGATACGTTGCGCACTATATGCTGGGCAATATCTGTGGTGCAATATAGGTGGTGCGCAATGGCTGCGGTGCAGGCGGCGACGGCGACAACATAGCCGCCAGACCGACAATCCCCCCCCCCAGTTCTGTACAACGGAGGTAAGGCACCCTGAGTGCAAGTACTGCTTGGGGGATATCCTTAAACAAATCACAACTCGAAAAAGACCTTTTGACAGAGGCGCATGGTAAATGTGTGCAATGGGGATGGGGTCAAGCATCAATGTTGCTTAAGATCGGTCGTACTTGTAATTGATGTGCTACTATGTTATCGTTGCTGGCTGCACGATAACTTTTAGGGTCCATACTGGGCCCGTCTGAGGTCCCAATTGTCGAAGCGTTGGGGTGAGACTCATGTTGGTTTCGGAGGGGGCTCGATGGTCCTTGGGTCCTTCCATCAGTTTTCCTCTGGTGGTCTTCGTGCGTCTGAGCGTAACTGAGGCGGAGAAGATGCGTCCCTCATCCGGGGCTCCCCGTGGCAACACCCTGACCTTGGCGTTCCTCATCCTGGACTCCCCGTGGCAACACCCTGACCGTGTGCCCCGACTCGGCTGTCCGGTGCCCCGACTCATATACAGGCCTCCCTCTCGTCGAAGCAGGCATCACGACCGAAGGCTTTCGACAGGGGTCGGCCTCGGGGGCTCCACGTTGTGAGAAGAAGAAGAAGAAGAGGTCCGGACGTCGGGGTTCTGGGACAGCGCCAGCTCCAGGGCATTGTCACCCATTGCGCTGCCCCTCCCTTCGGAGGGGCCGCCTGCGCATTCTGGCATCCTAACCTCAGCCTCCCCGTCCTCGTCCTCCCCAGGGTGCTCGCCGCGCAGCGAGCAAGCCCGCCGCTCCTCGCCTCCGTCCGCCACGCGGGGCTCGCTTGCGGCGCGCCCGGCTGCACATGCTTCTGCTGCGCTGTGCTGGCGTCTTCTCGCCTGCACTGCTGCAGGCTCGCTCGCTCGCCCCTCCTGAGTGTCTGCACTGCTGCTGAGAGTGAAGACCACTCCCCTCTCTCCCCTGACCGTGTCCAGCGGGTGCCGCCGCTCCTCTACGCGTGGGGCGTGCACACAGGACTCTCGAAGTTTGCATTTCACGCGTGCTCGATGGGCTGAAATTGTCTCGGTCCTTCAGAACGGTGTTCCCATTGCAGAGAATTGGCCAGGTTTCAGGATCGGTGCTTTACTCCCGTCGTTCACAATGGCGATCTCTCCCAAGCGTGGGCCGGAGTCCTCGTCGTTGCCTCCCCCCTTTTCCCCTCTTCCTCCTTCCACTGGCGTTCTTTTTCATCCTTCTGCTGCTGCTGCTGCTGCTGCCGCTGCTGCTGATCACCCTCCTCCTTCCCTTTCCCATCATCGCCCTCTTCCTCCTGCTAACCCGTCAACGCCCCCTCTTCCAATGTACACAGCCCCCTCCCTCCACCTTCTGCTTGTGCACCTGGGCGAATACAAAGAATTCAGCGCGATGGGAAGGGATGTGGGATGGTTTGGATGTCAGAGCTGGTACTAGCGTCTAGCTTGCCTCCTTCCCTCCTCCCACTCCTGTCCTCCCTCCCCCGCATTGCCTTGCGCATCTTCTTCTCCTCACCCTCACGATACCCCTCGCCTCATCTGTTATGTATTGATCAGTGGCGAGATATTACCTTGCATGGCCTGCCCACGCTGTCCAGGGCTGCTACTTCGCGAGCTGCTCCAACCCAGACTTTGGCTGGAACGCCTTCGACTTCTCGATTGTGTCGGTGAGTTTGTTTGACTGGACCGTCAGCACCTTCACCGCAGACAAAGGGGGGATGATGAAGTGCCCTCTATGCCATGCTTTTACCTCTCGATGAGGGTTGGATGGGGAGGGGGAGGTAAAGAGAGAGAGAGAGAGAGCGAGAGAGAGAGAGAGAATCAGAGAGCGAAAGCGAGAGAGAAAGAGAGACATACACACATACACACACAGACTGAGAGAGCGAGGCAGAGGCAGAGATGGAGAGAGAGAGAGAGAGAGCGACAAAGAGAGAAAGAGAGACAGAGGGAGACAGACAGGGACAAAGGGACAGCGGGAGAAAGAGGGAGAGAGGAGGTCAATATATTGAGAGGGGAGGAAGAAGGAATGGGGCGGGGGTGTAGCGCCCGTGCCGAGGTGTACAATCTGGGGCCATGCGCCCCCCCCAGTCCCCTCCCCTCTCTGCTCTTCCCATCATTCTCTCCCTCGCCCGCTTGCTCCCCTCGTCTCCTCATCGTCCTCTTGCTCATCCCCGTCTCCCTCCTCCCTCGTCGTCCTTCTGCCTCATCCCCCTCGCACTCTCGTCGGAAGAGGTACGTCCTCGTACTGCGCACGGTGCGGATTCTGCGCATCTTGCGAGTGCTGCGGTTGTTCAAGTCGTTCAAGCAGCTGTCTCTGTTGGTGCGCGGCCCTCTTGCCGGCCTTCTTCTGGGGGAGGATGGCGGGGGGGTGGAGGAGGAGAGCGGATGAGTGGGAGAGGGCAGGGAGCCAGGGGATGGGAGCGGCGGCAGGGGGAGGGCGGGGGAGGTGAGGGAGGTGGGGAAATGTAACGGGGCGGGACGGAGCAGGCAACAAAGGGGAAGAGGAGAGGAGAGGACAGGAGTCAAGGGAGGGCAGGAGTCGGAGGAGGGAGGGGAGGGGCAAGGACGAGAAGAGGGAGTGGAGGGAGGAGATGATGCAGTTTGATTGCGCCTGGCAGGCCCGATGTGCGTGCACAAACGTTGTTCGAACAGGCAGCCGAAGGGAGTTTCTGCATAACGGAATTGGTTGAAGCCCGCTTCCTAGTCCTTCGATTTGACCCTGCAAGATCTGAAGGGCCTCGCTCTCTTGCGATTACAGTGTTTGCAATGAGTATGTGCGACCACTGCACACACGGCCGCAGCAAAATCACGACTAGAACATATGTGTTGTCCCATATTGGGCCGGACAAGAACATGATGGCACTTTCGGCATAGCTGTGTTAATACAATGAGAACTCAGACAAATTCAAAAAAGGATCCGGCTTGATTTCGGGAGCTGTGCGGGTAGCTGGTTCGCGAGCGCCCGAGGAGGGCCCCAGACGGCCCCAGAGTGCCCCAAGAGGGCCCCAAGACGGGCCAAGAGGGCTCCAAGAGGCCTTCCAGACGGTCCAAGATGGCCCCGAGTCGCCGAGTGATCGGTCCAGGACGCTCGAGATGGCATCCAGACGGCCCAAGAAGCCAAACAGAGCTCCAAGAGGCAAAATTCGTTGGGAAAGATATTTTTTTTGCATATGCGACCTTTCAGCCTTCACGGCGTCCAAGACGGCCAAAGAGACTTCCGAGATCATGCCAAGACAGCCCAAGGAAGCCGCGACACACCGCAAGAGGACCCCGAGACGGCCCAAGAATCGCCCAAGACGGCCCATGAGGGCCCCCAGAAGGGCCGAAGAGGGGGAACTCGAATTGAGATTTCGCGCCCTCCGCCCAAAGGGAGCCCCCGAGACCGCCAGAAGGCCCGCAAGAGGCCCCAAGAGGCCCAAAAGAGACCCCAAAGACGCCCCGACGGCCCCCAAGAAACCCAGAGGCCTCCTGACATGCCCCAAAAGCTTTGACCTCGAAGCTGACAAACGACCGCGTGAAATAGCAGTCCGAACCCGATCATATACCGAGCCAAGGAACCAGTGAGTACGGCGGCTGTCAGAAAATACTTACATCTAATATTCAACAATCGATATGTGTATCTATATGTGCATACATCGAAACATCTAAACAGACACATACATATATATATATATATATATACATATACATCCACCATACATATCGATATACATACGAATCCGAATATACCTCTATATGTACGCAACTATATGCATACAAACAAATGTGTGTAGACGTAGGCTATACATATAGATACCCAGATAGGTGTGGAAGTTGATATATGTATGCGTGTGACTATACATGTGCATACATGCGCATGCATACAGTTATAGTTATACTTATACGTAGCATCTGTATAAATGTATACACGTATATATGGGTACGCCTGTATATGCATGTATACATGTGCACATATATATATATGTATGTATGTATATATACATATATGTATATATAGCTACACATCTGCATAGTCATGCGCACATACATACATATATATATATACACACATCGATGAATAGACATGAGTCTTAAAAAGGAGCACAATACAATATACGCTGCGACCCAAGGCCTCACCAAAACGCCCCGAGAGGGTTCTGATAGAGCCCCAAGGGCCCCAAGAGACAAGCACCGCCCCAATCGTTAGGGAAACGTATCGGGTGTAACGATTCGTCTTGGTATGAACAACGTCCACGACGGCCCCAGAGGCCCCAATTACCAACCCAGGACAGCCCAAGAGGCCCCCAAGACGGCCCCAAGACGTCCAAGGAGGTCCTCAAGACGGCCCAGGAGGTCCCCAAGACGGCCCAGGAGAGGCCGAAAAGGGATCCAAGATAGGCCCAAGAGGGGGATCGCAAAGTGTCGTCTCGAGCCGCCCGCTTCAAGATAACCCTTGAGACCGCCAGACGGCCCCCAAAGGATTTGAAGACACCCCCAGGAGGCCCAAAAGAGGCCCCGAGAGAATTCAAAATTGCATCCAGGAGGCTCCCGGGAGGCATCCAAAGAGAAATTGCCATGCATCAAACCGGTTGTTGGCCCACATTTAGGCAAGGATCAGGGAGAAGGAAGGATCGGGAGGATGAGGGGGAAAAGTGAGGAGGACGAAAAGGAATCAGAGGGAGGAGGAAGGAGGAAGGGGGAAGGAGCGGGAAAGAGGAGGGGGAGCAGGGCGTAGGCCCAGGATTGCTGCACTGTCGAGCAGGACTGGACCCACCAGAACTACTCCACCGACGTGGGAAAACGCGCTTCATTAAAATACCCCCTGCCTCACTTCAGATCCCACTGGTTCCGTGGATCACACCCATCAATTGACAACCTCGGCCAGAAGATGGTGGGCCGTGTCTTTCCATGGTGGGTCGCACCAAGCCCCCCCCCCCACCCTCGGACAGTTTGAGCGAAGGTCGAGGGATCTTTGCGCGGGGGGGCCTTACGAGGCCTCCCGTCCCCATTGTCTCAGTGCTCAAGCTTCGGCTTCGCCACCATTTTGCTGCCGCCGCCGTTTTGCGGCCCAGGGCGCCTCCCCCTGCCGCGAAGAGCAATCACGGTGGGGGGGGGCCAGGGGGGTAGCGCGTCGGGTTCTGACCACCTTGGTTGTTGGGGCGCCACCCCCCGCCGCGAAGGGCGGCCACTGGGACGGCGCATGCGTGATTTTTTTTTTTCATAGCCCTATCAAGGGCAGGTGCTTGCGAGAGTCTGAGCGCGTGCGAAGAGCGCGTGACTCATACACACATATGTGTATATATATATATATATATATGTGTGTGTATGTGTGTGGATGTATGTATATGTAGATGCATGTATGTATGTGTGTAAATAGTAATGTGTGTGTATGCATGTATGTGTGTATGTATGCAATATGTATGTATGTATGTATGCATGCATGCATTCATGTATGTGTGTATGTATGTATGCATGTATGTATGTATGTGTGTATGTATGTGTGTATGTATGTGTGTATGTGTGTAGGCGTGTACGTAAGCATGTATGTATGTAGGGATGGATATACGTACGTGTGCACGTGTGTATGTATGTATGCATGTATGCATGTATACATGTGCGTATGCATGTATGTGTGTATGTATGTATGTATGCATGTATGATTGTATGTATGTATGTGTGTGTATTCGTTTATGTATGTACGTACGTATGTATGTACGTGTGCACGTATGTATGAGTGTATGTATGTATGTGTATATGCGCAATTGCTTCTAGCAATGTATAAATGTAACATATGTATACATGCGTACACATATTTATATAAACATATATAGATGTATATGCGTGTGTGTCTGTGTGCCGCACGCGCGGGGCTGCGTAGGGGCGCTTCCCCACCCCCAGTGTCGAATGATATGCTGTTCTCCAGCACAGGCAAAACATAAGTGTTCGGTTCGTCACTTCCAATACATGGGCCCGCCGCGGTGTCCACATGATTCAGTTTGATCGCATCGGACACTGCGAATCGCCACTTGCGCGCTTATACAAAGTATCATGTTCCGTCCACTTGCGACACGATACCCTTATCAAAATAGACGGAAATCATGCGGGGCTCCTCCGCAGTTACCAGAGACCCCATCAGCATTCTCAAGCGCATGCGATTTCAAACGCATCTTCGCCGACATCTGCACCTGTTTCGCGGACCCCCCTCTTGCCACCCCCCCGTGCCTCGTCCACCCCGAACCCCGCTGCGGTCGGCCGCCCCCCGTGCGAACGCCGAGGTGCAAGGGCTGATGGTGTCGTTTCGCTCTGTGATCTGGTGCGCCCCGGCCCGCCCTCTGCTCGGCGGCTCGCACAGGGGGGCTGGGGCGAGGTCAGAAGGCACCGTGCCCCTCGGAGAGTGTCGGCGGTTCCCAGGATCGAGGCGGCGCAAAAAGTGAATCTCAAGGCGCGTGGACTGGTGTCGGGCCCCATGTCTCGGGGGGGCCTGCCCCGATGCGTGGATCGGGCGCCCACGCGCCAGGTCCACGGATCCGTGGGCCGTGTCAGCATGGGCCCAATTCGAAAACGACGCGGTGCCCCTGAGAACGGATCGGAGGTACACGCAAGGGTTTCCCGGGTCGCTTTGCCATCTCAGAAGACCACTTCGTACGCGCCGCTGGTCTGCACCCGGGAGCCCGGGCCTCCCAGGTGGAGGCTCGAGGATCCGCGTTTGTTGGGCGCTTCTGGGGCGGGCGGGTGGGGCCAAGTCGGGCGGGCCCAGGCTTGGGATAATTCGCCCCAGGGTGTTCGGGAACCTTCTCAGAGCGTTCCGGAGCGCTCTAGAACGGCCACGGCGCCCGACATATCTTCCAGAACCGCTAAAATCTCGGAGCTCCCCGAGTCATCCCGGTCCGAGTTTTTTTCTTGGTCCTGGCTTCGTCGCACCAAGGGGGAGGAGGGGGGCCCCTGCTGTCCCCCACCTTTTCCGTCCACCCCGCGCCTGGGAGGAGGTTCGTGGATTTGGGCTCCTGTTAGCATTGTCCAGCCCCCCCGGGGCCCTCTGGAGATCTCCAGGGACCTCTGGTCTAGGCCTCCTAGATGGGGTCGGAGCAGACGGTGTCGGAGGATCGCGCCGCATCGCCGATGCATCGTCGATGCGGCTCGATGTGGAGCCCGACGTTCCCCACGCCGATTCATCGCCGACGTCCCCGATGCATCGCCGATGCCCCGTGATCCTCCGACCCCATCTACCCGGACCCCATCTACGACGCCTCTATCTGGGGACCTCCGGGGGTCTCCAGAGACTTCTGTGGAGACCTCTGGAGATTTCTGGTCAACTCCAGGGAGGGGCATCGAATGCAACCAGGACGCTTGGTAGGGGGAGCCGATTAGTGATTGGAACCCGGAGCCCACAGCATGAGCCAGAATCGTTGCACCAGGTCTGCCGCAGCTGGTGTTTCTTCGCGTGGCGGTAGTTCCTGTTAGTGGAATCGGGCGGGGGGGCGTCCCCCGGTAGACATCACCAAACAAGGTCCCATTACATCCAGTCTTGTCAACGTCCCAGGAGGAGGAAGAGGAGGAGGAGGAGGAGAAGGCCGTTGCCCGACTCGGGGGCGCGGCCACCCCGCCCACCCCCGACACAGGGGCGGGGAGTCACACAGCGGGCGACAAGCTAGGTGCGCCAACCTCCACACCGGAGGTACGCCGCGATCACGGACGTCTCCAGGGTTGCTTTGTTTAGCCATTCCAGAGGCCTTCACTTGTACACAGTGTTGATGGATGTCTTACAAGCGTTCCTTTCTCGTTCTTGCACACTTTAGTCGCATGCTGATCAACCTTTACTGAAAATCAATATGAAGCTTGGGATACGCAGCTCGCATTCACAGGACAGTAGTTCAAAAACGGGATGTCATATGATTGTGGCGAAGAGCCACAGCCGACGCCACTTTGGAGAAGGTTCGCACGAAATACATTGTTTCCAGGTGCCCCCCGCTGAAGCCGCACCTGCCTTCAACAGAAACGAGGCTATCTCCGTGCCTGGTTCCGACCCGCTGATCCTGCCGCTTTACATCCCAGCCATCGGCCCAGCCACCATGCAGTCATACTTTCAGACATGCGCACCTTCGGCAGCACCCGATATGGCACGTGGAAGAGGCCAGGCGGCGAGAACTCCCAGAGGAGCAGCGGCTGCGACCACCGTGAGCACGCATACGGGGTGAGTCCCAGCGAGAGCTCCCAGGAGAGCAGCGGCTGCCGCCGCCGTGACTACGCTTACGGGGTCAGTACCGGCGAGAGTTCCTACGGGAGCAGCGGTTGCTGCCGCCGCCAGTACGCTTACAGGGCCAGTTTTGGGAGAGCTCTTGGGGGAGCAGTGGCCGTGACCGCGCTTGCGAGAGCTCCTAGGTGAGCAGCGACCATCGCTGCCACGGGCGAAGGTCAGCCCGAGGCGGCGCCCGAGGAGGCTGCCGAGGGCGAGCAGGGCGGCCAAGCGGCCGAGGCGGGGCAAGCGGCCAGCAACCCAGCTATGCCAGCGAGGCAGCGGACGAAGTCCTTGACCTGAACCCTGGGTACCGCATCTGCGTGCAGAGCATGGGATCGACAATGCATGGGCCCAGTGCCTGTTCAGGCCTGCGCGCTAACTACCTTCGGCATTGTTGGTTAGGTACGCGAAAGACGCGTGACGACTTACGCGGCCGGCAAGTCCCTCGGCTGCAGCATCGTTCATGTCACCACCGCTAGGGCTGCCACGCCTGCCATCGATTACTCACGCGCCAAAGATATTTCCCCGCGGGGCGACAGAAACTAAACGTCAGCACCGTGCACTCTGGCAAGCTCGCCGCCATCCACGTCTGCGGCTGCTGGACCCCGCCCGCCTACCAAGGGGGAGCAGATGAATGGCGCTACGCAATCGCTTCGCGATGACGGCGAACACCGTTCGAAACAGTTCTGGACGTCTTTCGTGCGAGGGAGGCCCTGTGATCGTCGGGGACATCGGTTGAGCCGGGCGTCTTGCACGAGGTGCCACGCAAGTGGCAATTCAGCAAATCAGCCGTTGACCCGCCCCAGAGCACGTGCCGCACCTGCGCGAGACGTGTTGCATGTTATCTACCTGCGTTTATCATGCATCTTCATCGCCCCCCCCCTTTCCCAGGAGCACCGAGGTCGAGCCCGCCAGTTTTACCGCAACAATGACCTGCTAAACGCGAAGGGTAGAATGTTCCAGTGCGGACACCACGAGCAATGTCGTGCAACACCGCGAACACCACCTTGCCGTCCTCGTCATGTCCCTCGCCCGCTGCCCTCTTCCTTCCGCACTTCACGGTCAGAGGAGCCGGGGGTTTACCGGTATCCACCACAGGTGGTGGAGGAGGACGCTCGACAGCAAAACAGGGGTGGACCCTACTCTGACGATCCGTCACCAGGGACCACGCCGCCAATGTCAGTCCCGCGACAGCTACCGCGCGCCTGGCGAGGTGGATCTACTATCTACCAGGTTCACGAGGGGAAAAACACACAGACACAACTAATGGTCGATACCCAAGAAAATATGGGAACATATGGGAAGTGGGGGGGAGACAAAAACCGAGAAAGTCTGGGGAGGTATGGGGAATCCTATTATTTTTATATAGTTATTCGATTGGCTTTCGCCGCGTCCGCCGACCCGTTGATTCACTCTCGGCTTCGAGCTGCGCGGTGATGTTAGTCGCTCGTAGGGGAGAAGGACTCTCGCGCGCCTAGAGGCCCCAAAGGGTTGGCGGGCATCTTAACGACAATGGGTTTTCCACGCATTCGATTTTCCTTCAACCAGTCCGCAACGAGATTTTCAGTAGAGATTTTTGGTGTTCGTAGCAAACAGGCAAATGATATGTTCGAAGACCGACGGCCCCTTTAATTTGAGTGCGGCTTCCGAGGCCGAAGAGTCGGAGGGCGCTACATGCGCGTGGGTTTCGGGAGGGAGGAGTTGGACGATGCGCACCGCGGGCATTTCCCGCGGCGGGGCATTTCCCGCAGCGGACGATCCACCAGGAGATGACGACGGCGCCAGAGGGCCAGGGCACCAACATCACAGCTCGAACCCCGCGCAGCAGGCTCAAGTAGCCTTGAGCGGAGTGCCGGCCACAGCTGGCCCCCCTCCTGCGGTCTCTCCCCGGGCGGGCCGCGGGGGCGCGGGGCTCGGTAATGAAGGTTTTACTTGTTGTGTTTCGAACAACCAAGGGCTTTACCGTCTGCGCCATAAGCGACCGAGGGCTTTACCGGCTGGGCCATGACCAACCATGGGCTTTACCGGTTGAGCCAAAATCAACCGAGGGAGCGCCGGCGGCCATAAGCCGGTCCCCCGGAAACGGGGTGGTTCGTGGCGCGTGCCAGCAATGGCACACCCGCGTTCCTGCATGGGCCTGCGGGTCAGCTGGTGTCAGACCGGCCCCCCGGGAGGGGTGCGTCGTGGTGGGGCCCTGCGGGGCTCGACCGCGTCGCTGCGTAAATCTACAACCGAATCGTTCCGGGTTGCGGCGTCTTCGAGTACCCATTTCTCGCGATCGTTGATGTCAAAGGGCGAAACTACCGCCTTTTGGCGGGGCGGGATAGTTGCCCGGACTTCCGAAGGAGCCTCGCACGGACGACCGGAGGAGTGGGCGATCGCTCGGTTTACCTTCGGCGCGTTCGGCGAGCGAGAGGAAGGGGCGGGATAAGCGATGCCTTTGTTTGACGCGCTCACCCGGCGACAGGACGGAGGGACTATCGAGCCTCGATGCAGTCGCGCGCTTTTTGGTCGATGGAAGTGGAGAACTATCGCGGAGTTGCAGCTGGGGTAATCTTGGCCAGGCGACCTCTGGAGGACGGAAGTCGGCCCCGAGAGCGGCTCCCACGCGCGTGGCAGAGGCGCGACTGTGCCCTGGGCTGGGCAGGAGGGGCCCCTCTTCGTGGCCTCCCTCTGCGCATGGCGCGGGCGCGCGCGCACCTAACGGCGGGGTCTGGCGGCTCGCGCCCCGCGGCCGCGTCCTCGCCTGGCGCGCGCCGCCCGTTGTGAGCAGCGGCGGTTTCCCTCTTCGTCCTCCTCCTCCTCCTCCTCCGCCTCTTCCTCTCGGCAACGCAGCGCCTTCGCCTTGTGCGCGCCCGCCCGCGAGGGCGGCCAGGCGCGGCCAGCTGAGGCTTTTGTGTTTTCCCCTTCGGTCTGGGTCAGGGGCTGTGGCTCGCAGGCCGGAGTGGGCCCATTGGGGGTCACTTCTTTTATGCATTGTCGTGCGTCAGACCCCCGTTTCGCAGAGGTGCACGCTCGTAGTCATGAAATGATTTTCCTTTTCCGCCTCCCGTAGCATAGTCTTCTTCTTTGTCTTCCTTTTCCTGTCCCTCCAACGCGTCGTGTTAGCAAATGCTTAGGGTGAGACATGTCTGCTTCTCCTGGTCGTTTCTGCGAACGCCCAGGGTGGCACGTTTCTCTCTGTTCGAGCTTGCCACCATCTCGTAGGGTCCTCTTTGGACTTGAGGAGCTGCTGGGCTGCTGTTGAAGATTGCCCGAAGAAAAGCAACCCACAAATAGTAAACAAAAACAGCCGGGTCCCTCCCGAACTGACTGCCCCTTCCTTTCTTCACTCTCTCCACCGATCACTTCTCTTCTACACTCAAATGGTTTACGCAACTCTGCGGACACTCCAGGATGAGCGAGTGCATGCGACGATTTTGCAAGTGATCATCTAGTGGGTCAGGAGCCTATTGGATGCATCTAAGGGGCCCATAGGAAGCATGTCGGGGATCTCTTCGAGGGCTCTCAGGTGCATCTGGGGGGGCTTCTTGGGCCTTATTGGGGGCCTCTTGTGGGGCTTCTTGGGGACACTTCAGAGACCTCTTGTGACCTGTTGTGGGGGCGTCGGGGGTCTCTTGGGGCCATCTTGGGAAGGAACGCTCGACATGTTAGTTCGTGTCTTCCCTTTCCCGTTCCTCTCGCGGCCTTTTTGGGGCTCTCCTGAGATTTTGGGGGGCCCCTGCGGCCGTCTATGGGCCCTTTCGGGTTGCCTTGGGGCCCTCTCGGAGGCATCGTGTGCCCTGTTGGAATGCTCTCGGGGGCCCCTTTGGGGCCGTCGTGGACGCTGCCAAGACGAAAGAGGCGAGTATTTGGTGGCCTTCGGTCCGTCCCGTCACCGTGCGTGGGCGTCTTGGAGGTCTCCCAGGCCGTCTGGGGGCCACATTGAGCGTCTTGGAGCGATCGCTCGGCGACTCGGGACCGTCTTGAACCGTTCTGGGGGTCTCTTGGGGCCCTCTTGGACCTTGTTGGGGCCTTTTCGGCTCCGAAAAGTAGGTCTGGGTACCGTTGATGAGCTCCATGTTCACCTCTCCCCCCAGGGACCCCCCCTTCTGATACGATTTTGAGCCCCAGAGGAGGGGAAAGGGGGAGGGGGACAGCCAATCATCTCACACGCTGTTTCACCTCAGGCAAGCGGCGGTCGGCGGATTCTCACTTACCCCTTTCCCCGCTCACTCTCCTCCAATTCCCGAAGCAGACCCCCCCCGGGTCCTCCTTATCCTCCACTCTTGTGAAGAAGGTGACTCTGGGAAAGAACGACTGCCCAGCTGCATGAGTCAGTCACAGGTGCGGTGGCGCCCGCTGGACGTCGGGTATCCTAGGAATCCCGTGGATCCCGATCATGTGCGATCCTTCTCTTGCTCCTCTTCCTCTCAACGGCTAATCACGTTCTCCTTTCTTCGCCTCAGGACCCGCGCGACTCACATCATTCGGGCCTGGGCTCTCTGGCGCTGCCACAGGATTGGGATTATGATATTCATGGTCATGCTCGGGTTTGCTATCTTCATCCGCGAGCAGGTTGGCGAGGCGCGCGCCCTGTCTCGGGGAGGGAGAATGGAATCAAGACATGTTGGCAGCATGTGGCCATGCCTCCACTTGACCCAGAAGCATCTGTTCCTCCCTCGCAGTGTTCCCATGTCTCCATCCAACGCTGGCTCGCCAGCTGACCCGCAAGATGAAGGCCGCCTGTCCAACAGCGGCTGCTGTCGGTTTTGGACAGCATTTGTGATTGGTCATCGTATTCCTCTTTCCCGTACCCGCTTCGGGCGTCCAACATATCAATTCGGCCCGATGTTTGCATGACGTCGGTGTGCATCCTGGCGCGGCCAATCCGAGACGATGCCGATTCCGTCCCGATGCGGTCCGATTCCACTTGAGCACCTTCCAAATCGGTCCGACTGTGCGGTTCGCTGCTGGCTGATCCTGGCCGGTTGCGAGGCCCGTGCGCACGCTCTCCGGATTGCTTGGGGCAAAGCAGCGAGCTGCCGAGAGCGCGGCGCCCTCGCCGCGGGGGGCAGGCGACGGGCTGCTCACCCCCGCCGTCAGCGCACGGTGGGCACGGCCTGGAGCCTGGAGTACGACCGGGAGGAGGAGGAGGAGGAGGAGGAGGAGGAGGAGGAGGAGGAAACCAGATGCTTTCGAGGGCCCGTTCGAAGGATTTGTTTAGGGCGAACCGCGGTCCGATGGCAGCAGCGGCTCGTCGCCGTGGCGATACGTTGGCCGTTGGCGTGGGCCCGGTGCGGCCAGGGTGATGTTTGACGCCCCTAGACGCCGCCGCGTCGGATATGCCTGTCATGTTTTCCGTGCCCGACGTGTCTCGTGCCCCTCCTGGCTGCGTTGCTCCTGCGGTCTTGGGTCGACGCTTTCGCCGTTCGCGCTGACGAACGGGGCGTTTGTCGGTTGATTGCACTCTTCGGGGGTGGACAGACCTCCTACCTTGACACGTCGATTGGCGAATAGGCTGTTTTCGGTTCGCGAGAGGGCGTCGCGGCCGTCATTTTTTTGCAGGTCCAGGTCCGTCGGTTTCGGTCCCAGGCCGTTTTCACTAAAGGGTGGTTTACTCAAGGGAGATTTGTCCACCGCCGACTGCTGGCGTGGGCCCGGTGCGACCGGGGTGATTTTTGACGCCCGTGGACGCTGCCGCGTCGGATGCCTGGCATGTCTTCTCCGTGCCCGACGTGTCTCGTGTCCTTGCTAGCTTCGTTGCTCCTGCGAGCTTGGGTCGACGCTTTCCTCCAGCGATGCCGGGTACTCTAGATGGTTGGTGAGGCGGTGTTTGTTTGGCACGTGCTTCGCTGGGCGGAGAGCATCGCTGCGCCTGCAGGCGGGGCGTGAGGCTGCCGGGCGAAGGCTCACGTGATAAGTTGCGGGGCGCAATGTTTGGAGGCCACCTCAGGCTGGCCTAGGTCTGCGCCTGGGTGGGCCACGGGACCTGCGCCCATCCACGGCGTGTATGGCCCGCCTCTTGTTTGCCCGCTGTATCGGTGAAAGACTGCGCGTGGTTGTGCCTCCCATGCACCATGTCGCGCTCGGGCGCTAGCGTGGGTTCCGGTCTCTGTGCAGTGGCAGTCGGGCTTCTGGCGTAGGTCGACGAAATATCTGTCTCGTAGCTAGGCGTGTCCGTGTGGTCCTGCTTTGACATTGGCCTTCTGCGCGGCTCGCATTACTTCCCCGTTGCGGTCGACGTCCTGCCCAGGCAGTCGCGGGGCCTCATTGTGCCAAATTGTCACGCGGGCCTAGCTTCGAGGTGCTTCCCGACTGGCGCAGTTGTGGCACTCCCTGCCACATGCGAGGCACCGCGCCCCAATTGCCCACGCTGCGGGGTTGGCGTCGGGCGGGTTCTCTTTCCCCACTTGTGCGAAGTGGGCCTGCTTGGCATCGAAGGTGGCTCCGCCCTCGTAGCACTTGTAGATTTTCTTGTCCCGATTGCACCCCCGCCCTCGCATGGCGGGAATTCTGTCGGCCCCGTGGTAGTCCTTGAGCTCCTTGTGCCCATGCTCGCAGCGCGCTTTGTCATGTGTATAATGTGGCCCCTTGAATGTGACTGGGCGAGCATGCGGCCAGCCGCAAGGCGCGGCAGCGCGCGCTCGAGACCGTTGCCCGCGCCTCGCGGCCGAGCGCTCGCCGGGGCCCTTAGTGCGCTCCTGCCCAGAGAGGACAACCATACCATGGATGGGTCTGGACATGCTGAGCAATGCCGTTGGTTCGTGCTCATTCGACTCGGCGTTTCTGTGATTCTGCGTCGACGGGCCCTGATCTTGTTGGACAACGCGGGCGCGCAGGCCGCCGCCGGTCGCGGCGCCACGCGTGACTTCGATCGCGGGTGCTTGGCGCGCTGTCTCTGGGTCAAGTTTGCCCGCTCTCGCTGCCTCGCCCGCGCGGAACGGGCGCCGACGGGCGAAAATATCGCGGGCGACCGGTTCCGAAGGGAATTCGCGTTGCGGCAACAGGCGCGGCCTTTTTCCCGCCGCCCTAAATGTTGATTCTTTGTACGTTTTCGAAGGGGTGTGGCATTATCACCTTTTCGGGCATCCGTCGGTTCGAAACGGCCCAAGAGGTCTCCAAGATAGATAGACGACCTCAGAGGGCCCGTCGACGGCCCAATACGGCCTCAGTACGGCCCCTCGACTGCCTGAAGTGACCGAGCAGACGGCGAAGAGGGCCCCAAGACGGCCCACTTGAGTCTCAAGGCTGCTCTACGGGAGCCAAGAACAACCCCGGGACGGCCCGAATGAGCTCTTAGAAGTGAGGTCGAGAGGTGCCGAATGTGACGGCGTTGTTTGTTTTCTTCCTCTAGCCAATGACCATTGTCATCAGCATCACCATCCATCATAATCATCATGAGACGAATCATCATCAGCCCCAATGTCATCGTCAACATGGTCATGCTCATCATCCTGATCATCATCATCATCATCATCAGCAGCATCATCATCATCATCATCATCATCATCATTATCATCATCATCATCATCATCATCATCATCATCATCATCATCATCATCATCTTCATCTTCATCTTCATCTTCATCTTCATCATCATCATCTTCATCTTCATCATCGTCAGCATTGCGTTTTCGTTGTCATGGCCATCACCATTCGACCAGCTGGCACCCAGATGGCTCTGCTGGCGCGGCGGTATTATTTGCCGCAAAGCATCTGGATATTCGCAGTATCGATCGATCGCACTCCCTATCTATCGCACTATTGATAAGGAGATCGATAGTGAGATCGACAGTGACGTCGATTGAGTGAGATTCATAGTGAGATCCATTGCGGGATCGATGGTAAGAGCGATAATTATTGATAGTGAGATCGATTGTGTGAGATGGATAGTGAGATTGATGATGAGAGCGATAATGCATTCGATCGTGGGATCGATGAACAAGTCGATAAGGAGATCGACCGGGAACCCGGAACCCTGGGAACCGCGCCAGCCACCGAAATCGGCCCAGAACCAGGAATTGGTGAAACCAGAACCACATGACCCCCGGAACGCAGCCGCCCACAGAAGTCGGCACGGATGTGTCGCCTAATCTTTCAATCTCCGCCAGGACCTCTTCAGTGCAGGCATTGATTCGGGAGTGAATCCTCTCCGTTCTCATCATGCTCATCGCCGTTGCCTCCGTATGGCCGTTTCGGATTCAGTGTTGTTCTGTCTCTACGCACAGTTCGCCCGCGAGCCCTCCCGTCCTCCCGCCCCCGACAGCCACAGTGGTCATGGTGGCCCTGGCGGCGGCCGACCTCGTGCTGGACGCGGAGGCCTCGCACGCGGAGGACCAGCGTGCTGCGCTCCTGCGGCCGGAGGCCCTGGCGCGGCAGCGCCGCTCCGCCTGGAGACTGGCCGCGGCGGTCGCGGTAGCGGCGCTGGTGGCCCTGGGCGCGGCGGCGTCGCCGTTCGCGTCCGCCGCTGGGCGCGGCGCCCAGGCAGGGCCTCCGAGGAGGAAAAGGTACCCATACCTCTACCCTTCGCCCGTTTTCCCCTTTTTGGGCCTCCTGGGAGCCCCTCGTCGCCACCGCTGGATTCGCCGCACCCCGGGAGAGGTCCGGGGAGTAGCAGTATCGGTACTTTTTTGCCTCCCCAGGGCCCACGTCGATCCGAGCGAGCCGATTCGAGCAGAGCGAAGCCCGAGCCGCTCCGATCCCGGGGTCTTCCGAGGACCCGGCGCTGCTGTGCATCCTGGCGCGGCCGATGCGATTCGATTCCGGCTCCGTGCCGACGCACAGCCGGATCCGACGCGCATCCCGATCCGATTTGGGTTCCTGATTCGGCGTTGAGCGATCTTGCCAGGGGTGCGCGGGCGGCTCCTGCAGAAGCCCCTCGAGCAGCCTCGACGCGACCTTGATGCTGAAAGGGAGGAGTGCCGCGAAGAAGCCCCGCGTGCCGCCAAAGCTGGCGTCCGGCGACGACGCCGACGTGAAGGTCCTCGACGTTGGTGGGGAGACGACGACCGCCGCCGCCGGCGAGGAGACGACCGCCGCCGCGGGCGGGGAGGAGACGACGGCTGCCCTCGCGGGCGACGGCGGGGACGAGGTGGCGAAAGGCGGCGCCAGCACCACGGCGGCGGGCACGAGCACCACAGCGGCGGGCGCCAGCAGCACGGCGGTGGGCGCCAGCACCACGACGGACGCCTAGGCGCGCGTGAGGCGCGGGGGCGCGCGGCGCGCAGGGACCGAGGGTCTTGCAACCCCTTCTAAGGCTCTTTGCTGCCCCCCCCCCTCGGGCGACGAAACCTATACATATCACCTGCTCCCTGGCCAGGCCCACGCTGAACCCAGGAGCTGTGTAATGTACGCCCTCCTGGCGAAGCCAGGAGGGCGTGGCGTACCGCTGCAGGGCTCAGGATGGGCCTGGCCAAGCAGCAGTGGATATGTACAGATTTCGTCGCCCTAGCCTTTCGTCCGGCCCGATGGTTGTTGAGGGGGAGGGTCCGAGGAACAATACATTGCATGAGCAACAATTTCTCGGACGCCAGCGCGGATTTGGATCGACGCTGGGGACATCTGGGTGCCACCCCTTGCGCGCTCCGCACGCCAAGGAGGAGGTCCTGCGCAGCTCCAAGAAATCAGCGTGGACCTCCAAAAGTGTATGTTTATGTAGTTGTTTGTTCCTCGAGGTATGCAGCAGCAAATCGTCCAGAACTGCTGCGAAGATGAATTCGAGATTGAGAATTGCGGCCACGCTTGCCTTTGGCAGGCACAAGCTTTGCGCGAGGCAATGACTCCTTGTGCGAGTTCGCAGTTGCGGTGCCCTGCCTGCACCTGTGGAAGAACCCATGGGCCTACAAGAGTTTGGGCAAACAAGTCTACCATACGCACGGCTGGATTTACGAAAAGGCATCCTACTTCTCCTCTTCCTCATCGTCATCGTCATTAGCATCATCATCATCACCGAAGTCCTCCAACTCGGCGTCGTCCCCCTCGTCCGTCGCATCCTCCTCCTCACCCTTCTCCCAATCCTCCATCTCACCCTCATTCTCACCATCCTCGTCATCTTCAGACTCTGAGACCTCCTCCTAATTCTCCTCCTCCCCCTGCTTCCGATTGCCGTCGGGAAGCGGATGAAGCGGCCCGGGCAGGCCTTTCCACGTTTGCCAGCCGGGGTAAGTTTCCTCCCGTGTTGCGCCCACGGCCACAACACATTCACACATAGATGCATATATCTATATGTATACAAGACTGCAATGGCGCTTCGCGCCATGCACCTTGGTCCTTGAAGTTTAGTATGCAGGCGGAATAGCAGGAAGATCAAGCCGACAATTTAGCGATAACTCGTTGTTGCTTTTTCCGACATCGCCGCTATAATAATGTTATTCGTTATATTTCCTCCACGTTCTTGTTTTCTTCATGTTCGCCATACCTTGCGCATTCTCCCTATCCTCCTCAGCTCTTTTTTGTGGAGGTTCCTCCTTGGAGAGCCTCTGGGGGCCTCACAAAAGTTGTTTCAGGCTTTCTTAAGGCCGTCTGGAGGCCTCCTGGGCGTATTCTGGGAGCCTCTGGGGGCTTCCTCGGGCCACCCTGCCTCCAACTGCGGTCTCCCTGAACGACGGGGTCACGATTTGTAATGCTTCGGAGGGTGTCTTGGGGCCATCTTGGGCCGCCATGGGGCACTCTGAGGGCCATCTTGGACCCGTGTTGTGCCGTTTTGGGGCTCTCTTGGACTGCTTGGAAGCTCTTGGTTGTGTGGCGATTTTGGAGCCCCCCAGGCGGCTTCGGACGCCCAGAAGACCGCCGTCTTGGAGCGTCGGGAAGCCGAACAGAGGAGAACCCTCAAATTCACCAAAAACCAACAGAAAATCAATGATTTGTGCCTCTTGGGGCCTTATTGAGAGTGCTCTTGGAGGCCTCTTTGGGGCCGTCCTGGAGGCCTCTTGGGCCATCTTGAGGTCACGTCGGTCACTCTTGGAGAGCTCTTGTGCTGGCTTGGGGGTCTCTGGGACGTCTCCGATGACCCCCCTGATCGCCCTAGGTGCGCTGGGAAGGCTTGGCAAAACGCCCTGCGATGCCTGGGGGGCCGCTTCGAAGCCCGTCCGGAGGGTCCCAAAGCCCCAGATCCTAGGAGTCCGGTTTTTTTTTGGGGGGGGCTGGGTGTTACCCCCGCCCGGGCGTGCAAGCATATATATATATATATATATACCTATATATACCTATATATATGTATATATATATATGTATAGACACACGTGCACACAAACATACACACATACTTACGTACATAGATAAAGAATAGTATCAAAATTGGCTTGCCTTCTAGAAGTCCTAGCTCATTCTACGTAATTGGTCTTTGGGCCCTCTTTTTTCCAATGGCACCCCCCTTTATTTCCAATGGCACCCCGCCCCCCCTTGTTTCCAATGGCACCCACCCTTATTTCAAATGGAACCCCCCTTGCTTGCTTGCTCTTGCGTGCTTGCTCTCGCTTGCTTGCTTGCACTTAATCGCTGGCTCTTGTTTGCTTGTTATTGCTCACTTGCGCTTGCTTGCGTCCGCTTGCTTGCTTGCGCTTGCTTGATTTTACTCCTCCCGTACTCCTTTCGTCCTCCTCCGATCCTCCTGTCGTCCTCCTCCTGTCCTCCCATCTATACGGAGTCATTGACTGATATATACAGACATACATATCCACGAACACACGTGCATTTGTACATGTGGATACATGTGCATACATAGTTATACATATATACAGATGATAGGGGGATAATCCCCCTACAAAATGTTCAATTACTTCTGGATATTCACCACAATCTCTAATAATTATGTTCATTTAGCGCGTTTCAATGGCTCTAATACATTACACACACATTAATGGAATTCGTTCGCTTCATTAATTTTGCAGCTCTCCTCCGAAGCCTCCGGTGAGCGCCGGGGGCAGCAACATTAATTCAATGAGCTCAATTAGCTCCTGTGGATTAATCCATCAAAATTTCTGGAAATTTAGATTTATTACACATGAGCGCGAAAATCATGAAAATCAATATGATAAAGGAATTAAACATGTATTGTGTGTTTCTGCCACATTGATTATTTAATTCCTTTTACGAATTTATGTTCAGTCCTACAAATTAACACAAACAATCATTTAGATAATGGAATTCGTGAATACTTTCCAATATACATGATAAGTTTCATAAGCTCACATAATTGTCAACGCCTTCCATGCGAAACCTTCGGTGGGCGTCGACTGCAGCAACATTAAGTCACTTGGTTGATTTACCACTGTATATTTTGTGAAGTGGCTAAGTTGATTAAGTTAATTCGGTCTGAACTCGCCGCCTGCTTGCCTGAGAGAGCCCAGGGTTCATCACATCAGCTGAATTTCTGCCTAACTATTTATCTAACGTAATAAGATTCATTCCCACGTATGAAACCAATGAATTAAGTCAGTTCATTAATTTGATTGCTCAATTAAATCTATTTAGATAGTTCCACCGCCCTCCGTGCGAAACCTGCGGTGCGCGTCGAGGGCAGCACCATTAGTTCAATGAGCTCATGCTGTGAATTAGTGAAGTTAGATGAATGCAGCTAATTAAAATGTATTAGATTCGTAGGGTCTGAACTCGACGCTTACTCGACTGAGAGAGCCCGGAATTCATTTAATTAGTCGCACGAATTAAATGTATCTCCCCTTTTTTCTAGAAATATCAATTCCCCAAAATTGAGTCAAGTATTCTAATTTAACGAATTAGGCAGAGTATTTTCAACGAATTATTGGAAATATCTAACATAAGTTAATGTATTCCGGCGCTCTCCCTGTGAAACGTGCGGTGGGTGTTGAGGGCAGCAAGGTTGATTGCATTAGTTTATTTAATTCTTGCAGGATGTTCAACATAATTAAATTGATTAATTCAATCGGGTCTACACTCGCCGCTTGCTCGCCTGAGAGCTCCCGGAATTCATTACAGTATTCCAATTTACAAATTGATACAAAGAAAAAGATCCAGTGAACCAAAGTAGGTGGCTGAGTTAACTAATGGTTCACATTTTTCAGTGCGTTAAACTCGAAGAGCTGTTTTTTATCCATGTGTCCAATGTCATCTGTTCAAATAACTGAATTGGTTGCAGCGCTCTCCCTGCGAAACCAGCGATGGACGTCGAGAGCAGCAACATTAAGTTAACGAAACCAATCATCAATATATTGATTACTTTCTCTAGAGTCTGAACTCGCCGCCTGCTCGCCTGAGAGAGCCCAAAATAGAAACTTAATTGTATTGGCTAAATTCACTGAATCACTTCGTTTGTTTAATTAAATTAAACCCCATCGGTTGATTCATTAACTTACACGAATTGCGCGCGTTCAATTAATTTAACAAAGTAAACCCACTTCAATAAATGCAGTGATCGCCCCGCGAAGCTTGCCGGGAGCGTCCAGGGCAGCAACATTGGTCAAACCAATTTAATGTATCCATGAAAAGTACTACGGGTAATTCAATATATGAGATAACCCAATCAGTTTTATGACTTGCATTGAGCTGTTGGAATTCGTTCCATTGATTATGTCCTCTATTGCGTTAAATTATTTGAGGAACTTGACGGCTCAAACGAATCCTGCGAAACCTGCGTCAATTAAGTCACGTCGGATGCCAGGAAGGTGCCGCGAAGGCCCCAAGCGAGCCCCAATCTAACTCCAAACAGGCTCAAACTATTCCGCGAAAGCGCGGCGCCACATACAACATATACGATGGAGTCCACATACGAAGTGGTTCATGTATCAGCCAGATGCTCATTATCATTTGCGGCAGCATTTGCCCACCAAGAGGTTTTCTGGACAATTGTTGCCGCAGCGATGATGACGACGATGAGGACCGCAACGGTCATTATGACGATGTCAGCGATGACGAGGAAGAATATGACATGATGGTGACGCTGGTGATGATGGGGATGGTGATGAACTTGTTGCTGCTGATGGTGATTCTGACTTCGGTGATGATGACGACGACGGTGATGATAATAGGCATCCTGGGATGCTCTCGTCGCCACCGCTGGATTCGCTTCGGATTTCTGGTCAGAACGCACCCCGGGAGAGATCCGCTTGGTAACGGTATCGGTACTTCTTGATTTCCCCAGCCGAGATTTGAGATCGAGATCGGTTCGGGGAGGGTGCGTTGACGTTTTTTGTGCCTTTGGGATGTCCTGGTGCATCCTGGGGAGGGTACCTTTGGGTGCTCTGTGTGTGTCTGTGTGTCTGTGTGTCTGTGTGTCTGTAACTGTGTGTGTTGTGTGTTGTGTGTGTTGGCCAGGCGGACGGTTCATGTTCACGGAAGGTGTTCTTCTGTTTGGGTGCAGATTTGCCATATCATAGGTTTGCCAGGTACCATCTTTGCGAGGTAACGGATTTGCCAGATAACAGGTTTACCAGATAACAGAATTGCCAGATAACAGTTTTGCCCGATAACGGACGAATGATTTGTAGGTTGCAATAGAACATGTTTATTGAAAGCAGTATCATTGACACAAGGCCATCCTGAGGCCTTCGGCGGCTTTCGGAAATTCGATCACCCATTTTGAACGATATGTCCGCAATAGCGCCAATGCGGACATATCCCGACATCGTTGCGTGGAATTGGGAATCATATATACGTTCACAAATTGGTGGCGATCGTTTGCTGGAAGGCTCTCTGGCCAATTGCATTCGCAAGTGATGATGATGGTCATGATGGTAGTTGTGACGACGATGGTGTCAATTATGATGACAATGACAAAGATGAGTGGGCGCTTGCCGGTCTTGACTTCCATTGTGGACTGGTCCTTGGCGATTCACCGACGGGCGGGGCTTCTGGACAATTGCCACAACAGTAAAGAAATACATTGATCAGGAGCACGACACGAACATGGAGGCATATGCCGAGAAGAGACGTCGCGTTTGCCAGATCACAGGTGTACCAGGTTACAGAGTTGCGAGATAATGGATTTGCCGGATAACAGGTTTGCCAGATATCAGATTTGTTTGATAAAAGGTTTGCCAGATAGCGGATGACAGATTTGTAGGTTGCAACAGAACAGGTTGATTGAAAGCAGTATTCTTGATTAAAGGCCATCTTGAGGACTTCGGCGGATATCGAAGATTCGGTAACCCATGTTGCGCGATATGTCCGCAACAGCGCCTATGAGGTTCGTGACCATCATGTTCCGTGCTTCGCAAATGGTTGGGATTGCAACCAAACATCTCAACTACAAACATACAGCTATATAACCAGCATGTATACATAATGACATAGATACATACATGCATACATACATGCATACACATACGCACCTACACCTATAATTATATACATAAATAGGTGTGTGAAACGCTTCGGGTTCGTTCCAGCCTCTGCCTGTTGTTCCAGGCCCGGTTGTTTCCACTTGTGCGGATATTCCAGTTTCGACCTTCTATGTGTTCCCATTCAGGTAACCCTCATTATCCCAATCTCCTTCCTCCTGGCATTTCGCTAGTGCTCGCCGCAGGTCAAACGCACAGACTTCGAGGACGAAGAGGAGTACGACGAGTACTACGAGTTCTGGGGAAGTGTCGGGATCGCTCCGTGCACGTATTGGTGGTCATGGGGGCAGATGGGACGGCATGCAGGGGGAGGGGGGATGGAGGGGCAGGAGGGGAGCGCAGGGGAGGAAGGGAGAGGAGGGGAGGGGAGGACGGACGAGCGGAGGAAGGAGGGAGGGAGGAAGGGAGGGAGGGGAGGGGAGAGCGAGGAGCTACAGGGAGGGGGGGAGGGGGGGAGGCATGGCATAGAGGATGGGAGGATACAGGGGGAGGAGAACGGTGACGTGAGGACAGGGAGGATGGGCAGGAGGAAGACAGGCATGCCAGGAAAGAGGAGGGTGAAGGCGAAGGAGAACGAGGAGGGATCAGGAGATCGGACCGCGCAGAGCGCGAGCGCGCTGAGCGCCCGGCGCGGCACACGCCCGCGCTTTGGATTGATCCGTTGCGGCGGACGGTAATGGCGCGCGTTGGCCCTTCTTTCGCCAATGTGACCTCGCTTTGGCCGTGGAACTTCCCCATCTCCTCCGATCTGCTGGGGACTTGTGCTTGAGAGTCCTTCTCCACCTCCCCATCCTCGCCTCGCCATCCTGGTCTTGCTTGGCCGTGGAACTCCTCCACCGCCTCCTCCTCCTCCTGCGTTCTACTGGGGAGCATGACAGGGTGGTGCCGACCGTATGGGTTCTTTGGGAACGGCAGGGCCATTTTGGAGGGTGGAATTTTCCAGATGTCTGGACCTTGAGAAAGAAAACGGTAAAAGCTAAAGTGTTTGGAGAAGGACCCAACCATTTGCAGTTGCGAGTTCCACAAGACAGGTGGAAACTCAGGGAGGGGATTAGCAATAGGACTCTGATGGTGTCGTGGGGGGCAGCCGCAACGGGTTACATCTGGATGTAACCCGTCACGGCTGATCTGAGCGTCTGTCGGCTTGGCCCTCGTGGAGCTCTTATAGGGCAACGAAACGTGCGAGGGGTGTGCCAAAACGGGCACGGTTAACCATGGGATTCCCGCCATCGTGGCCTTCGGCGGAGCTCCTTATGGGGCCACGAACCGTGCGAAGGATGTGCTGAAATGGGCACGGTCACACATGCGATTCTTGCCAATGAAGGCTTAGGTTGAGCTCCCTACTGCCGACACGGACGCGGTCACGCATGCGTTTCTTGCCGTTGGGGCTTTCGGTGGAGCTCCTTATGGGGCCACGGAACGTGTGAGGGTTGTGCCGAAATAGTGGGGATAAGGCATGTGAACGCAGCCATTGTGGCCTTCGGTGGAGCTCCCTATCCCTATGGGGCCACGAAACGTGTGAGGAGTGTGCCCAAACAGCGAGGTGGCGGCATGCTGGCTCAGCCACTGTGGCCTTATGTGGAGCTCCCCATGGAGCCAGAAAACATGTGAGGGGTGTGCCGAAATAGCGTGGTGGCCGCATGCGAACGCAGCCACTGGGGCTTTCGGTGAAGCTCCCTATGTGGCCACGGAACTTTTGAGAGGTGCGCCGGAATTGTGAGGTGGCGGCATGCGGACGCAGCCACTGAGACCTTCGGTGGAGCTCCCTAGGGTGCCACGGAACTCGTGAGGCGTGTGCCGAATGGGCGAGGTGGCGGCACACGAACGCAGCCATTGAGGCGTTAGGTGGTGCTACGTATGGGGTCACCAATCGTGCGAGGGTTTACCGACACGGTGAAATGGGCGGCGTGCAACCTCGAGAAAGAATTGTTCCCGGGTGGAAAGGGTTCGTATTTTGGTTGAACGTTTCGTTACCCAGTGACCATTTCCAAAACGGAGGTTCGGTCCCGGGTTGAGCGGTTCGTTCCCTTGTAGAATATTGGTTTTCTTTGACACGTTCACGAAAGATGATGGCCGCCTCTGAGAGGCATCTGAAGAGCGTCTCATAGCCTCTCACATCCTCTGAAAAACTTCTGAAGCTTCTGAAGGGTCTCTGAATAGCCGCTGAGGGGCGCCTGAAGAGCCTTTTGAGTTTCTGCAGAGCTTTCGACGAGCCTCCGAAGAGTTTCTGAAGAGCTTTCGAGGTCCTCTGCAGAGCCTCGTAGATTTTTTCGAAAGCCCATCAAGAGCTTCAGCAGATATTCTGAGAGCATTGCGAAGAGCCTCTAAAGGGCTGTTGATGAAGAGCTTCTAAAGAGCGTCTTACAGGCCACTCAAGGGCTTCTGACGGGCCTCTGGAGGGCTTCTGAGGGGCCCCATTCAGGGCCTCTGACGAGCATCTGACGAGCGACTTGAAGGGCTTTTGAAGGGCCTCTTAAGAGACTCTGAAGAGCTTTTGAAAAGCCTCTGACGAGCCTTTAACAACAGATCACACCTATCCCACCCTGACCCCTAAGGCTACAAGTATTATTCCGACAATGAAAAGGCCGACTAATGTTACAGCTACAATTTTTCATTATTACGACTGCGATTACGACTATTACTATTACCGACCTACCTACCTAAGTAACTACCTACCTATCGACCTACCTACCTACCTACCGACCCACGAATAATACTACCGCTACGACTACTACTTTCCCGACTACTACGGTTACTATTATTATTTTTACTACGACTACTACTACTACTACTACTACTACTACTACTACTACCACTACTACTACTACTACTACTACTACTACTACTACTACGACTACTACTACTACTACTACTACTACGACTACTAACTACCACGACGACTACTACTACTACTACTACTACTACTACTACTACTACGATTATTACTACTACTACTACTACTACTACTACTACTACTACTACTACTACTACTATTACTACTACGACTACTACCTCTACGACGACTACTACTACTACTACGACGACTACTACTACTACTACTACTACTAGTACTAGTACTAGTACTAGTACTACTACTACTACTTCTACTACTACTACTTCTAATAATAATACTACTACTACTACTACTACGACTACTACGACAACTGCTATCACTACGCTTACTACGGCTGCGAATACCGCTACCAGTTTCGCTTCTACTACGGTTAATACGACTACTACGACTACGACTATTGCTTCTACGATTACGATTGGCATTCCCCGTACAATCGCTACGACCACGACAACTAATTTAAGTAATCTTGTTACTACCACTACCACCGCTAATAATATGATTTTCGCCATCGCGTTTACTGCGGCGATTGTTTTGGTTTCTATGGCTAGAATCACCCATTTGTTTCTTATGTGCTTGCTGCTATTGGTTCTACCTTTACACTTACTATTACGTTAACTTGCATTTCGGCTACCACAGGCTACGATTACTAATTCTACGACGGCGACGACTGGCATTATTACTGCGACTACTACTACTGCTACGGCTCCTGCCAGTACTAGCACTACGACTATAACTGCTACTACTACGATTTCTATTACGGCTACTACTGTTCCGACTACCCCCACGGCGACGGCTACTACGATTACCAGCCTTATTACCACCACGCAGATTGACGCGACAAGCTGATGTTTTTTTGTTTTCACTTCGCCGTGATATCTACATATTTGTATGTGTATACATCTGTAGATCCACCAATGGTTACTAGCGATCTGTAGACACGTATAATTACATGGCTGTGTATACGCATACGTTTATAAATACATAAACGAACACACGTACACCTACACCTCAGTTCCCCCATGTGTGGACTACACATGGGGAAACTGAGGTGTAGGTGTGGCTGTTACGGCCACACCACCCGCCAGTGCTACTCCGAATATTATTTCTGATGGTACCACCATTAGTTTTAGTGTTGTTACTACGATTACGACTACTGCTACTACGACGACGACTAGTATTTCCACAATTAATATGATTACGTTTAAGACTATTACTACTTCTAGCATTGTTACAACTAGTACTGCCACGGCGAACCATATCATTATTGTAAAGACGACGTCGACTAGTATTATTACTACTACTACAACTATTACAACTGTTGCTGCTGCTGCTGCTGTTACTATTACCGGTATTGCAGCTACTGCCACAATTACTACGGCTGCCACTACTACTATGAATACTACTAGTACTACCAGCACTACTGTGACCCATGCTACTACTCATACGAGTGCTACTACTGCAAGTACCACTACTATTACTACAACTACTCTAGCACGACTACTGCTACTACTACTACGACGGCTACCACTATTTGTACTTTTGCTGCTACGACTACTACGATCAACTACTCCCAGTACCCCTGCTACTACTACTACTACTACTACTGCTACTTCTACTACTACTACTACTACTACTACTGCCACTACGACTGCTACTATTGCTACTATTACCACTACTACTACTATTACTACTACTCCGAGTATTATTATTACTACTACTACTACGGCTACGACTACGAAAAATGCGACTACAAATTAGCACGACGACTACGAGGACTACAACTGTTTTTGTTTTGTTCTGACGACTACGATTGCGACGACGACCACGGTTATTACTACTCTACGACTACTACCACTACTACGGCTTCTACGGCGACTACTACTCTTTGCCGCTACTACTATTGCTACTACTACTACTACTACTACTACTACTACGACTACTACTACTTCTACCAGTACTACTACTACTACTACTACTACTACTACTACTACTACTACTACTATTACTACTACTACTACTACTACTTCTACTACTACTACTACTACTACTACTACTATTACTACTACTATTTCGACCACTACCACTTCTATTACTACTTTTGGCATGTTTACGACCTGGTACTACTACGGCGAGCCCGTTCATAATTAGTACGACGACGCCTAGTCTTATTGATACTACTACATATATTGCAATTGCTGCTACTCTTACTGTTATTGTTATTGCAGCTACTGCCACTACTACTACGACTGTCATTGCTACTACTACTACTACTACTACTACTACTACGAATACGAATACCACGACTACTAGCACCACTACTACTACCCATGCTACTACTCACACCAGTGCTAGTACTGCAACTACTACTACTACTGCTAGAACGACTACTACGCTTAGTA